TGTCCCTTTCCCACTCCCATTACTGGAGAGTAGTAGTGTGATGCAGTGAAGAAGAGAACGAAAGAGGAATGAGTGCTTTCGTTCCAAGTGAAGTTCGTAAAAGGGTGAGGCATTCCCAATACTGGTGATCTGACTCTCTCCTGTCTACCTCACCTCATGTTAATAAAATGACTACATTTTGCGCTCATATTGGAAATCATTTTGTGCGTTTCGCTTGCGGCTTCTGCGCGGTTTTGTCGAAGCTTTGCAACTCTCTTCATCAGAATCGTAAAAACGGACAAGATTATGGGTAAGTGAGAAAAAAGACGAAAGAAATCATGTCGTTATCCACCGTTTATACCTTTCTTTTTTTTATCAATGATTTTAAGAGAATATGCACTTGATTTTAAAACCCGATACTCAAAAAGATTGTATGGTTTTATTAGATTTATGCAGAAGCAAGCCTTTCTTGATTATATTCTTGATTAGCATCAATAGCCATGTCTGTCCGTACTCAGTACTGTCTGAGTATCGGGTATAAGTGTAGAGTCGCGGCAGTGGCTGCGACTCGCAACGTTCCCCCTATTATTTTTTTTTAATGTTTATTTTGTGGTGTAAAACTTCAATCCATAAATTACATCCACTTATTATTTCTTTAATGGCTCTGGCTCGCTGGAATGGCCGGCGTTCGGTTCATTTAAAATTATTTTAAATGCTCGCCATTAAATGGGGAATATTTCATGCTGCACTTCAATTAATGCGAATGTTGCCAGTGACAAAACAAGCGATAATTATCGGATATTCATATACGCGTGAGCGGTAAAACGTGGACGAGCATCACTTTTAATGACCCATAGGTACAGTAGGATCCATGAATATAACGATGATGGAATTGCTTGCCATATGGTTCAAATGTTAAGACAAGAAATTAAGGCTAAACTTTTGTCTTTTAATAACTTTAATTGACCTCTTAACCAATTTTTTTTAAAGGTTCTATAAATAGAGACTTGCACTAATAGCAGATTAGTGTAGATACACTTTTGCAACGCACTGTATCATATAGGATATTTTTTGAACATTCTCTATAAATTTGGTTAATGGAAGTGCACTCTTTCTTGAAATACAGTTGATCGGATTAAACTCAAGGATACTTGAAATTCCATCGATTGATCTGTGCGAAAGAGCGGAACGGAAATCGGAATCGGATACAAAAATTCAACCATAAAATGAATCCATGAGATGAATCTTTTGATTTGCAATTTATTATAAAAAAAAGTGTCATCTATAGCCATTTGGAAATATTAATGAGATTTTTATTTGACTCCAACTTAAACACAAACAACTTGTGTTTGTTATTATTTTGTGCTCTATTTAGATAATTGAAATTTAGACATTGTAGAGGAACTAGGGGAAACATTAAGCTTGATTAAGTGATGTGTTAGATGGATGTGAATGTGCGCTCTAGAGATATTTTCCCTAATGGACTTTGAACAAATCTTTCGATGATATCTGAAAGCAAAAGGCCACTGAAGAACAAGTAATTAATATCCCACGAGTGGAGTCACAGCCACAGAAAAGCCGTGCAAACATCTGAAGCCAATCTTGTATCGTATCGTCTCTATCGCATCTCGATATCTGCAATAGCCAGGCTCCCCTGTCCCCTGTCCCATCCCGTACCGTGCCGTTCAGGCCTTGAACAACAAAACTGGAGGCTATACTCGTAGTTGGATTGTATGGATTGTGTGGATTGTGTTCCACTTTGCTTTGACAAGTGGGAATAAAATAATACTCTCGGCAAAATGAGGCAAAATATTTATGAACTGCTGACGTCGACACTCAGGATGGAGTGTGGGGGGAGGTGCCGTGGGGGACGACTGACTGAGTTGAGGCCGAGTTAAGCTCACTTCAGTGCATTTATTTTGCGAATTTCATTTATCAGCCACGAGCTCCACAGACGTCAGAGCAGACGGCAGGAGAGCAGTACAGCAGGACCGTCACTTGGATGGGAATGGACGACAGTCGCTGTCGCTGTCGCTGTTGCTGTTCCCATCACACTCCACTAAGGAATCAAGGACCACAAGGAGAAGCTTATCGTAGCAAATCCTATTGTCGTCATATTGACATAACCGCAGAACCATCAGAATCGCCACCCAACCCCAAAAATAATCCTCTCCCTTTCTTCTTGTTCTTCTTCATCTTCCTCTTGATGCTTTTGCTTAGGGCTTTTTCAGCGAAATAACTCTGGCTCTGGCTGGGGCTCCTTTGTGCCTTTCACTGCGGTCGCTTGCTCGCACTCGGAGAGGAAAGCGACTGCCAGTTGTTGCTATTTGTGTGCGTCCTGCACTACAGGGTACCACAGGGCCAGGCAGAGGAGGAAGTTTTCCCTGATCAGCAAGGAACTTATCGAACTTTTGCCTTATACCTTGGATCATCCAGACATCTTCCCTGAGAATTATGGGCTGAAATTGTGGGAAAATCGGAGGACTTCGCAATATAACTCCTAAAGGAAGGATGACTTTTCTAGGGTATCCCAAGTCTCGGACTCTCTTTCTCTCTTCTAGCTCTGTTGCTGTCCCATTTACTGCTGCTGCTGCTCCTGCAGTGCCTGTTGTGTGTATCCTTTCGCTTTTCAGTGGCTCAAGCAGCGTAAGGACTTGGTGGAACTTATCTTTTACGGCGACTCGTTTGTAAAATGACAAAATGAATGGTGCGGTCAGCAGCTCGTCGTCTTTGTCCCGCTCCATTGAGTTCCTGAGCATTCCATCAAATTTCACTTCCCTCCACCGCATTTTCCTAAACAAATTGAGAGGCAATGCAGGACAATAAGGACACACTTTGAGGGTACAAGTGTTGTGATAAATGAATGAATAATAACTTGACTTTTTGCATATGATTTAGGTCCTTCAATAAATCCTTTAATAAATACATTTATTTTATTTTATTTATTTATTTTGTGTGTCTAAAATCCTTGAGCCATGGGTGTATTTAAATATTTTAAAATTGTATTTCATCTCTGATGAACGTAAAAAAGTGAAAAGCCATTAGGGAGACCATTGGGGCTGTCCGACTGGAATACGGACAGGAAGTCAGACACTTTTTAAGGTGAAACGAATGCATAATAATGTGAGTAACGGCGGCTGTATGCCCCCCCCCCACCCCATCGAATTAACTTTGGGTTTGCGGACCCCATTGAGGCCTCCCCGTCCCCCCCTGCGGGGCCATTGCACACTGTACTTATTTGCGGCAGGCCGCACACACTTTTTATTCGTGGTCGAAATGCAAAATGTGCGCCGTCATGTTGCCAGGCAGCACGGACAGGGCACGGCCACATCCTGAACCCATCTCCGTGCCATCGCCATTGCGCACTTAAACTCACCTCAGTGGAGGGAGGGGGAGGGGAGGGGAGGGAGGTCAGAGAGCTAGAGGGGGGGCCAGGCGCCTGGCCATGTCGTAATTAGCAGGGTACAGCGTTGCCGGCGATAATTAATGACGTTGGTCACGTTGGTTTCATGTCGATTTCATTTCATGACACGGCCGCAGGCAGGCAGACTCCCTCACCTCCATGCCACTCCCCTCCCCGCCACTCCCCTCTACTCCCCTCCTCCTGTGCGGTGATTTGTCAAGCGTTCTCATTGAAAAATAAAGAAAAACTGCCTCGACCTCGCCTGCATGTAAATCTACATTAAATTGAATTCCGCTTGCGAGAGAGAAAGCAACTTTTGTTTTTTTTTTCTTTTCTGCTTTTCCTGGTGCTTCTGCTCCATTTCGTTGGGGCCTTGATTAAGCGCCTGACCATTTTGAAATTCAATGCAATTTGAACTTTCAATTCAGCTCGATTCGATTCGATTCGTTTCATTTGGATTCGATTGCTTTCGGGTTGCGCATAATTGAATAATTTATGGACCCGAGGCCAAAGTTGTCTTTGATCAAGTTTTTCCAAGCGGCTCTCTCTCTCTCTCTCTCTGTCTCTCTCTCTCTTCTCCTTTGGCTGCTACTCTATCTGCCATGGCTTTAACTTTACATTTTCAATTGGATTATGCAGTTTACAGGAATACCCTTTTCGGCGGGTGGGGTAAAACCAGCTAAAAGCAGACCCTACCATGTACCAAACCATGTTGGAACCCTAAAATATACCCTCTCCTGCACCGATTCGATTCATTTTATTAATTGTTGTTTAAAAGAGAATGAATTCTGGTTCGATATTTACATATCACTTGATTTGCCAAATTTTCTGGGCAGCTCTTGAGCGGACTCCAATCGAGTTGATTAGAGTGAAAATTCCAACGCAGCTTGTTAACTAATTGAGTGGCCATTGGGCACCCCAGCCCCCCGACCCACCAACCAGCCCCCCACCAGCCCCCCTCTCAGGCTATAAAATTAATTAAATTCATTTTGTTTGATATGGCCGCGTTCATAGAACTCCAACTGAAAGCACAAGCCATGTCCAGACTCATATTGGCCATCCTGGCTCCTGGCCAGGAGTCGAATGCCTTTCAATAATGCAAAATGTTTGATTTACTTGTATTTGCCTTTGCCAGAAATTCTCACAAATATTTGCATATAATACAATGTGCAACATGCACTCTATATCACGTATTTAAACATTAAATACTTAATTCGCTTAGTCTTAATGCATTCGACATCGAATTAGCTGCATTTTCCAGCCAGTACTCGAAGGGCGCTTGCCAGAGTCGGCTAAGAACTGAAATTAGATCATAGTTGGCGGTCTCCTTCCCTCTATGTGATCCCATCTCTCAGGGCCAGTGCTTTAGAAATCCTACAAAAAGCCTACTTTTACGTTTATTTTTTTTGAAATTTTCAAATTCTAGAAATCGAAAAAAAGAGCAAAATAGTATGCCATGAATTTACAATACATCAGTTTGTTAGAATAGCTCCATCATTTCCCAAAGTCGGTTAGTAAAACACTTGCAACGAATCACAAAACATACAATTTACAAAATCGGTATAATCTAAGCTGAAACACAAAAAAAAAAAAAAAAACAGAAAATTACAAAAATTCGTAAAAGTTTTATATAGTAGCTTTAACATCCTTTTTAACATCTCGAACATCGTGTGAAACGCGAGACAGTGCTGTGAAAGAATACGATGGGAAATCCAAAATGTTTGCAAATTTGTTGCGGTATTGCCGCCACGTGTGGGATGGAGTCCGTGAGTGGCTCCACAAGCGATATGCCCAGCTCCCACACGCGTCCTCCTTCTGCGGAAGAGCTTCAACGCGGGGGAGCGCGGCAGCAAATTGCTGTTGCCAACGTACAAGAAGGCCATGCTCTATCCGGACGATCTGGCCATTAGAGATAATGTGGGCGAGTTCACCTACTTCCAGCTGTTTATGACGGCCAAGCGACTATCCATACAGATCTCCAATATATGCGGTAGATATTGAACATTGAACCCCTGGCACCTAAAGAGTGGGTCACTCACACCTCAAAGTTTGTTCTTTCAGGCAGCGGCGCTTCGTTGCCGGTCGGATTTTTCTGTGCAAACGATGCCATGTGGATTGTGATGCTGTGGAGCTGCTGGATGGACGGGCCGGCCAGGTAGCAGTGCCCCTGCGTACGAGCCCAAGCCTGGAGCTGTTGCGTCTCCAGGCAATCGACTGTAAGGCAAAGCTGTTCCTTGGCACTCCCGAAAACGCGAGCATTGTCGACGAACTGGCCCAGACCCTGAAGGCGGCCACCATTGTACTGGACCATGACTTTGTGCCTCCAGTGAAGGAAATCTCCTCCACATCGATGTACGCCCAGCAGCTGGTGGTCAGCCGAGAGTCGGGCGTTCTGATGCCAGAGGCCATGCTGCCCAATGACTTCTACGCGTCCACATCCACGTCCACGTCCACGTCCAACGAGAGCCACAGCCCCAAGCCGGTGCTGCTCACCCACCGCAATGTCGACGCCCAGATCCGCTGCCTGATCAACACCTGGCGCCTGGGGCCCAGCGACACCTTGCTGCCGGTCCTGCCGATGGTGCACATGCCCAGGAGGAGATCTTCATTCCCACCGGCGACATATGCGCCTACTACAACGACAACTTTTTCTTCATTAGCAAGGCGGTCTCCAGGTCAACGCCTCGGAAGTGAAGAAGGTGCTCCTCTCGCATGGCCATCTCGCCCGACGTCCAGGTTGAGCTGGAGACCATCGAGACATTTTGCCAGGAACACTTGCCGCCCTACAAGTGTCCCCCAAGTCGTAAAGCTGCCCCACGCTAACTAGGGGCCACTCCTAATGCTCTTAGCCTTCATTCGATTCCCAGCGTAGATGTCTTTGGGATTTTTTTGTTAAACTTTGATCTGAATAAAATCAAGGCATTAGAAATTTCTATTAAAACACATTTCCGTCTCATACAAAAATTCCTTCAACGACATTCTTTCACCTTGGATTCCTTTCGTTTCAAGGACCAGCGGAGGGAAATTCTAGCCCCTTGGAAAAAGGAAGCCCTCTTTTGCACTCGGTCGGAGCTGCTGTAAGAGAGAGTGAGAGAGAGAGAGAGAGGGAGAGTGGATTTTTTGCATAGCAGCGAGCGGCTCTGGAATGCACGGCACGGCGTTGCCTGCGAATAGCGGGAAATGACAATGGGGTCCATGTAAATAGGGAAGGAATTCAGCGGCGCTTGGCTTTTTAAACGGAAAGTTTTTCTGTTTTTTTGTTGTTGTTCGATCCATGAATATTTTCCAAGATTAAATGCAGTGCAAAATATTTTGCATTCAGCTCACTAATTAATTTATTTTATATTTTTTTGTTCACTTTATTATTTGTTGGCGCCTTTTGTTTTTTGTTGGAATCAACCACTGATACAGCTGGTTGAAGGGGACCAAATACTTGATAAAATAGATCTGACCCGATGTCAACCAGCTACATACAGCCGTTGTACATAAGCACACACGCGTCACATACAAATACACATACAAATACACAGATACAGAATTGAATTAAATTGAATATTGTTTGCATTTCATTAAGCACGTTTTGTTGCCGGCTGCCCTGCCCTGCCGGACAGCATCGCATCGCATCAATATACCGACGGCAATCGCATAAATCAATTCCATTCCCACTAATTACAGGCCATTGTTGTGGGCGGGTATTATTTTATTTTTGTTAAACAATATTAATTGAATAAAATATGCATGCAGTAAATCAATTTAACAATCACGACACAGAGAAATGACACGGGCTACCCTGTCTATAAATATATAGATTTTTAAATCACTCTTTGGGCACTCTAAATGTGGATCCTTGTGGATTGTTTGATTGGTTTATTCGGGGTTTATTAATAACACATACACTGCGCGTCATAGGTTAGACAAAGAACATTTTTTTTTCTACTTTTTCGAATAATATACTTGAAGAATCATTGAATAAGCAAGATTTTTGCATATTAATACAAATTTCAAAGCAAGGATGAGTGCGTCTAACCTATTGACGATCAGTGTATATATATTTGCTATAAAACCCATCAAAGCCCCTGTTTCCCAGGTATTTCCTAGTCTACAACGATATGGAAATTTACACCAAATTTTGTCTGATTTTTACAGATTTTCTGAATTTTAATTTGCCAACTTTAAAGGTTTTTTACTGACCACACCCTAGCCAGCCACTCCACTATCTCTGGCTTCCATTCCATTCATTCACGCCTTCTCCCACACAATCTATCTTCCTCTCTCTCGCTCTCTCTCGATGGCTTTCATTCTGGTGCTGCTGCTTGCGCCACATTAGCTTCATTTGTTCTATTGTTTTGATTATGATTTACAATGCCCAATGCGTGGCTTTTGTTGCTTTTGTTGTCCGCCTGCTTGCTTGCTTGCGGTACTTTTTCACGCGCGCTCGTGTGTGTGTGTGTGTGTGCATTTGTGTTGAACAAAGCATAATACATACAGCATTTGCATACAGCGAAAAGAGACAAAGAGCGAGTGGGGGAGTGAGAGAGAGAGCGGGATGGCTGTATGCCACACAATAAATTTCATTTAAGCTGTGTGCCAAAATGGTCTTTTGCGAGAGTAGAGGGTATGCAAGGGGTATAATGATTTTGATTGGATATTTGTAACCCAAAAAAAAGGAGGAATTTTTTTCTATTTTTAAGTTTTTATAAGATCAAAGTCCAGGCCTATCTTTCGTATATCCTATATTTCCTTTAAGGGGTATCTACCTATTCGGCCTGCCTAATCCTTAATTACTTTGCTGTTGTTTTCTCTTAATTCCCACACACTCACTAAAGCTGTTATTAACGCTTATTAGTCCTTTGGTGGAGTGCGTAATACCGTAATACCGCCGGGTAATGAAACGTATTTCCCCCCACACAAATCCCTGCCCAATCGAATCTTGAATTTGTTGGCTTTAATTTTCTATAGAATAGCATTAATGACTGGGAAATTTTGCAATCGACTTCTAGTAGAATTTGCTCTTCTCGAGAATCGTCTCAATGGCATGGTCGCGCTTGGTCGGCTCCTCCCTGCCCGGACGTGGATCCGCCTTTGTGGCATTCAGTTGCTTGGTGACGACGATATTGCCCGGGGGGGTGGCAACGGGGGCCACGGCCTTGCTGGTGCTGGGCTCCTCCGCCAATTGGTCGGGGAAGAAGTGCGCCTCCAGCTGGCGCACACCCTCGGGGGTGCTCAGATCGTAGGCAAACTTCAGGTACTTGTCGAAGAAGCTCTTGGTCTTGTTGTTCCGTTCGCGATGGGGGGACTTGGACCTGGGCTGGGCCAGGACCGGGGGCTCCTTTGATTCCTTGGACCGTTTGGGCGAAACAATTTGGGGCTTGGGCACGGGTGTCGCGCTTCTTGGGGCCCTGAGTGGGGTGGGCAGACCAGAGCTCTGGTATGTGGCTACGTCTAGGTCTTGATAGCACCAGTGCCCGGAACGCTTCAATCGCGTCAATCTGATCGACTGCATGGGATCCTGGAAGTCCTGGGGCCTGCTCTTGCGCTGGACCGTCTCCGGGGTCGGCTTGCGAAGGACCAGCGGCCGCTGTAGGGACTGGCTCTGGGCCAACTTGTCCTTGGCTGCAGTCGATTCGGCCACCGTCTTGGAGAAGTCGCTGATCTTCGGAGTCTTGGGTTTTCCCGGCACCGACGGCTTGCGTGTCGCTAGGTTCTGCGCCATCTTTCTGGAGAGAAGAATACTTTTTGAAGAGAAAACTATTTCGAAATATTATGGAATTTTTGAACAAATTATTCTATGGAAATCAGAAAATCAACTGAGAATTTCACAACCGAATGGCAAAAACATCTGATGAGAAATGCAAAGGAATTTCTTTTGGAAATAATTCAATTAAAATTTACTGAAAAAAAAGAAAGAAAAATATGCTTTCTCGAGTTTTGCATTCCAGGATTTTAAAAAATATACATAATACACAAAAGAATTTGTACCCAAAGGAAAGGTTTATAATCCTCTTAGATATAAAGTCCTTTTGCTTTTCCCGTTATTTTCCGCCACCAAACGACAAAAAGTCAAAGCTTAAAAATTGAGTAATTTAACAAAAGCGAAACGAGAAAGAGAGATCCAGAGAGCGCGATAGAGAGAGAGTTATTTTGTTGGATTACTTTTTTTTTCGGACAACTGGTAAAAAATAAAAAATAAATACAAAAAAAAAAGGGAAAATAACAATTAATTCCGGATAAACACATTTTATAATTAAAAAATTCCTTTCGTTTCTTGACGAGTTCACAAAAACAAAGACAGCGGAGGAATGAAGCAAAAAAAAAATAGCAAAAGAAATTAAGTGAAAACAGCCAAAGAGAGAGAAAAGGAGAGAGAGAAAGGGAGAAAGGACAGACAGACTGAAAGGAGCAGGACACGAGGCGACTGAGTGACGACAGGCAGGACGCAGCTTAGAAGACTGACAGCCAAGACTGGCAGATGGCGGAGGGGCTGGGGGGGGCTGCTGCAGGAACTAAATGCAACACATGGCGAATGCGCAATGTTGCCTGGAATTTGACGAGAAAACAAAAATTTAATCATCCTTTCAGGGCACTAGGGGCACAAAGAGAGGGGGGTGCGGAGTGCCTCTAAGCTGATTAGGGTTAACGAAGGGAAGGAGAAAGGAGCACGGAGCACGGAGCACGGAGGACGGAGGACGGACCTTCGCTAATTTCTTCTTTTTCTAGATTTTTTTTATCTTCCATTAGATATACAGTATATATTTTTTCTTTTTTTGTAGAGGGTATTTGCGCTGCTATGAGTGGGGCGTATAGGAAGCCTTAAACCGTAGCATATTCTGGATCAAAGGAATGTTTTTTAGATCAAAATGAGTATATTGGGTATATTGGATTTGTGGTGCAAATGGATGTGTGTAACGTCCAGAAGGAATCGTTTCCGACCCCCTTAAAGTATATATATATATTCTTTATTAGCATCAATTATATAATAAATGTTTTGATCCAAAAATAATAATTATTCAATAAAAATCAAGAATAATAATTATTCAGTAAAAAATCAAAAGAATAATTATAATAATAATTATTCAATAAAAGTCAAGAATAATAGTTATTCAATAAAAAACAAAAATAATAATTAGTCAATAAAAATCAAGAATAATAATTATTAAATAAAAATCAAAAATAATAATTATACAATAAATCAAGACTAATAATTATTCAATAAAAATCAAAATTATTATAATAATTCTCTCTCGCACGCACTCTTTGTCGTGTCGTGCAATGTTAGCGCCGTCTGGTTATATTATATTATTTATTATTTATTATTTTTCTATTATACTATTTATTATTTTTATATTATATTATTTATTATTTGTATATTATGTTATAAAATTATATTGTTCACAAAAGTCGAAGGATAGCTTATATTAAAACCCCAAATAGAAAAAGGATGCTAATTTTTTTTAGATTAAATTGAATTTTACTTTTCCCCCCATCGTTTATTGCCCCGCATATTAGCCCACAGAATTTTTGCCTTTAACATTCTGAATGTCCCTTAACCGAAAGTGTATCTAAACGTCCGCTATCCCATACATCATTTATTTCTTTTTTGGTTCTTCTCCTTTTTTCCCCCTTTTTTTTTGCATTTCCGGGGAGCCAGTAATTTATTGTTTGTTGCGTAATTAACCTGCCTCGTGGTCGTGGTCGTGGCGTGGTTGGCTTTCACACTTTTCTGCTGCCTAATGACGTTAGATACATTACATTTTGCATGCCTCAAGGATGGAGGCAGCAGTCGCCATTTTATCGTGTTTTTTTCTGCATTTTTTTTTTCGCCGCTCGAAGGGCGAAAGAAATTTCATTTCATTTTTGGTGATTCGAGTCTTATCTGGGTGTAAAGTCGTCCACGTAATTAGTTTCATTCCACGGTGGACTCCCAGCCCCCC